CTGCCTTAGACCCAACTGCGTGGAAAGCACATGGAGAATACTATTTTGAAAGTGCCCATTCAGAAAGGAATTTGACTTAATTTTTCTTCCAATGCCATATAACAAAAATAAAGTTACTATTACATGCTTTCGCTTACGGGGAAACCCGTATTGCTGTACATTTACAAAAGATTTGAGACAGACTTATCTGGTGAGTTCTTGTTCGTGGTAAACATTGCAGCAGAGGTATTCAAAAAGGCTGTCTTTAGTTTGAGGAGTTTATTCTCCCTTACATCCTCCTGTATAATCTGAAGATCAACAAGGCTCTTGTCCTTCTAGAGGGAGGACAGTTCAAACCATCATCTTAAAGGGTGCTTGTATAAACCGGTTTCCCTAGATGATAAATAGCTTTTTCTGAACAAAAAGGTGGTCCCTCTCCCATGTTTGTGTCTCCAGCCTAGCATACATGTCTATTAGAATAGATTTGTCATAGTCACTTTATTTTACAAGGAAATAAATCATATTGTAGAGGTGCCTCTCTTTTGTGGTGTTATAGATATTTTCATGCCTGCAGAGATTTTGCCCACCTACAAAACAGCTAAAGCTACAGATGAATTCCATGCTTCATGTTGGAAATTATAGCAGATAGAAAAGGGGGTGCTTCTAATGCAAACTGACAGTCTTCTGGCCACTTCTCTAATCTCTCCTGCTTCTTTGAATAAAAGGAAATCAAAGTTGGTCACCTGTTCTGCCAAATTTTAAGTGAGAAATGGTGGGAAGTCCAGTGAAATGTGGTGCAACTGAGAACACTCTATAGAGGAAGCTTATTGCAAATGAAAACAGTGGGTGCAGAAAAGATGGTCCGTCTGTTTCGTACCTTAGCTTAATTTCTGCACAAACTTATCCCCTCTTTTGGAACGTGATTCCCGTTTCACAAGTGCAGTGTAGTCACAACCCCCAGATTAGAAATCATGCATTAAAATAGCTTTAATCCATGATGGCTGAAGAGTCTTTGGGTACCGCAGTCCGTCCTTCTCTTCAAATTAGCTTGCAATACCTTTGTGGCTCATGCTGTCAGTGCTAAAGAGTAAAGAGGGCAGCCAGGAAGAGTTGTTTTGGTATTACTTGCAATTCCATTCTTCAATATAATTTGTTTATTACTTGAGTAAAACTGATTTTTAAGTGTGTTTTGGATTTGATTAATCATTTCTTTGGTTTTCAGCATCTAAAAATGAGTAATGTTTAGCATATGTGCTTTTAATGTAATGTACAAATGTTTTTCATTGGTGGGGGAGGGAAAAACTATTTTAAATAATAAACTTTCTTTCTATAAAGGACAAAATTTCCTAATTCTGTTACAGAAGGCTGTGACCTGGTTCAAGTAATCCAGGATAGGCTGTATCCATTCTAATTGGCCTATTCTTGGTTACTTGCACTGGGAGGCAACCACAACTGTGTGAACCAGGAAGACAAGACACAAGACCACGCGTTATTTTCTACTTGCTGTTAAGAAGCACCTATCCCATGAAATAGGAGATTACAGAAGCTTGAATTGTCATGGGTAGATTTTTTTGTCAATACTTGAAGATTGTATTATTCTAAAGTTAATTTTGAAAAGCAGTTCTCTCTGTCATATTTTTAATGGATTAAAATTAAGCTGAGTCTCTCTTTTGGTTTGCAAATATTAAGTCTTTTAGGTGAAGACTGCTTTGAGGTATGGAAAATGTATATGGAAATCCTAAATGCTTGAAAACAATTAAAGATAATGACTTGTGTTCCACCATTAACAGTTGTAAATATATAATCCTGTGAAAACATGCCTAGTGCCTGTTTCATGTTTCAAAATTATAAGAGTAAGGTTCATTTAAAAAAAAAAAAAAAAAAAAGACTGCATTCCTCTGAAGCAGCCAGGAAGAGAGGAAGGTTCATTTAACTGCGCATATACAGCGCAGGAAAAACCGGAGCGTTTTTTAAAGCCCTGAGGACAGCATATAAATCTCAGAAAAATGCCAGGAGCCAGTTAGTCTAGAGACTTAAACTGAAGACATCATGCAACAGAGAAAAAGCCAAGCCACAAATAACCGTGCAGCATTGAGATTCAAGTCCAGCAGCTAACAAAGTGAAGGGAAAAAATTCCAAATGAGGAGGAAGAGGAGAAAAGAGCTGCACTGTCAGTTGAAGAAAGCTTTTTATGTGAAGTAAACCAAAGAGATTTTGTAGCCCAGGATACCAGTGCACTTGCAGTTGCTTCCAGGATCTAAGTATGACTTCTCAAAGCAACACTGAGGGGTATATCCGTCCAGAGCACTAAGAAATGTTGTCCTGGAAAAAACAGTTTTGTTTAAAAGAAGGGGATGAAGAAGTAGGGCTTGTTAGAGAAGAAGGGGAAAAAGCAGAGTGAGACATCATCCTAATAGATTGCAAGTGTTATTAATGAGGCACTTAAATGAGGAGAAAATCTGTTGGCCAGGGCCCAACAGGTAAGGTATGGAAAAACAGCAAGAGATACCAAATGAAGAAGTAGAGGGAGCTCCGTGATGGATCAGGAGGTCTAAGCATCGGAATGGAGACGATGCAACTGAAAAATGCCATATACTTGCAACTAATACTGACGAGTTGCTGCTGCTGAGCTCCAGAAGACCTACAAATCACCGAAAGAGAGCATGTTCCAAATACTTACTTTTTATCCCACTTCTCTCCACAAGTCTGTGGTTAAGAAGCTCTCGATCCCTTGCTGCTGGGTTGATTTACTGCACGCTCCCTTCGTGGAGGAGACAGGTTATGTTGCAAGCGCCCAAATCCTTGGCCTGGATTGTGTAATTTCATTCCAGGGGGAAATACTTTGCTGACATGGACATAGATAGGGATGGAGCGGAAAAGGGGCACTTCTTTCTCTGTGACTGGAAGGAGTAATTTTTAAAAGAGAAAGTAACAGTAGGTTTCAGAACTTCCTCTCTAACAATGGTTTTAAGACTTTGGAGTGGGAATTATTTCACATGCCTCCTTGTGCACTCGGATATAAGTGTAGGAATAAAATTTAAGATTAAAGAATTCAGAGCTTTATAATGAATTCTACAGTTAATTAGTAACTCGTGTCCTGCTGTCTTTCCTCTTCGTAGCTAGCAAACCAAACACACTGTTACTGGCTCTTCAAATGGAGAGTGACTGCAAGTGTACTGTCTCTTTAAAACTTTAAAGAAATGATATGGAAAGGAAATACTACTAAAGAAAGTTATTCTACTAGATTTAAGTGAAAAATTAATTGCATTGTTAGAGGAGCGGAAATTACTTAGTTTATGCCTAGTGAAATACAGGAAACTTCACTGCAATTCTCTGGAAAGAGAGCAGTGCTAAAGTACATCTGTTAAGTGTCTTTAACTTTAATTCATGAAATGTCTTATTTAATTGATTGGTCAGGTGCCTGCTAAGGTGGTTTAAAAATATAAAAAATAAATGTAGGTTATAAATTGTTGTCCATATCCAAGTTTGAATGCACTGCTTGAATGTATTACTTGAATTTCCTGAGCTGGCAGAAATAAAGCTGAATTAAACTTAACAGAAATAAAACAAATCTTCATGCTTTGAGCTATAAGTTATGTGCTGCATAAAGCAAAACGAAAAAGTAATTAACATTTTTGCTCTAGTCATTAATGTACAGCTCCATCAAGTATGTTTTTAATAAAACTTGGCTTTCACACTTAGGTTTTCTGTTTCAGGTCTCTATTATGCAACTTCTTACTAAAGGCTTTAATTGTTACACTTCAGTTCAAGCTAGTATTTCCACATTTTTCTCCTTCAGGCTTTTTCTCTGGGTGCCTTATGTTTTTTGCCTTTTTATTACTATGAATCTAGTGAAATACGTACAATTAATCCACTTCTACATATTGAAGAAGGAAATCACTGAAGCTGCATCACGTTTGTGCTTCTTGAATTCAGTTATATTTTACTTTTCTCTTTGACGTTTCCAGTATTATGGATTATTTGCTAAACTAAGAAGATAAAACGTTGCCAGTGTTTTCTCAAACTCTTAATCTAACTGCAAACAAGATAAATATTTTTTCAAGCGGACTCCCCTCTTCAGCTTCCCAGTTTATTTTAAACCAGTTGTAAGCTTTCTGGACAGGAGTTATCTTATCTTGGTATTTTCTGTGAACGCAAAGCATCTTCTTTGCTCTAAAAAGAGGAGCAGGGATGGTTCTAATACTAATTAATCCGCGTAAGCACCCAAGCTGCCTGTATGGTTGTCAGTGCAAATAGGCAAAACAGCTCCCTCGTTGAAACCGAGCGGTTTGGGAAGGAAGAAATCATGAATATTTACCATCTTTATGACAAGGCTGCAGTGGAAGATGATGTAGACTTTGCCACTGAATTTTAAAAGCAGCATTTGCTGCACGTTCTGAATAGCGCTGTGGAAATTTTTGGTGACGAGCGCTTTACAGGTCTCGATGACTGATAGCTATCAGTAGCGCGATATGATGCTCAGCGCCTGGAGTTTAGAAAATGAAAGAATTAGCCACAGGAAGAAAAGAGTTCCCCGTTGTGCAATTTTTGTCATGATAACAGTTTCTTCGGATTGACTTTTTCTGTAAGGCTCTTCAGGATTGAAGGCAGCAGCACCAGAATCATTTCGGTTGAGAGATCGGAGTCCTCCTTCCTTGAGGAGCCCTACTGTCTCTCTTTGCCCTTAATGGGCTTTTCAGAAAGCATTACTCCAGAAGATGCGCAGTACTTGCACTTGCATAATCAGCATGCGTCTTTGCCGCCCATGCATTCAAATTCCTCGTTATTGAATGTCTACTTTTATCTTGTATGCTTTTTTCCTTCAGCTTTTCCTTTGGACTGCTTGCATGTTAACTTGGTCCCTTCAAGCGCAAGGATTGCAGCGAGGTGGTTGTGTGGGCGGTCTTTTTGTTTGTTGCTTTTTTGGCTTTTGTGTGTTTGTTTTACCTTAAACATCATTTGACCTGAACGGTCGTTGTCATTCCAGGTTTACGTATTGAAACGACCGCACGTGGATGAGTTTCTTCAGAGGATGGGAGAGCTCTTTGAATGTGTACTCTTCACAGCCAGTCTAGCCAAGGTTTGTTAGCCTCTGCCTCCCGGTAACGCTTACAGCGCTGGTTAGTGGACTTTGGAGTGGATTTTTCTGTGGATAATTATTTCCGTAGTTGGTACTATCTTAATTTTTCGCCTTCTTTTCTGCTTCTTTGTCTGACAGTGTGTACTTTGTCTGCTAGTGTGTGGGTAAGTGTTACCATGGTAACAGTATCACATATGGGCTCGTCTCATAATGTAGCCTCCATGCGTTGCTCATAACGCCAATATGAAAGGCTTACAAGTTACCATGGTTATAGTGGGGAAACTAGAACAAATAGCGTGCGATTAAAGCTGGGCATGAAATGAAACACGCCGTGTTTAACGTTATCTGCATAATCAGCCAATGATTCGGAAATTGCTTGGGTATGAAAATGTGGGAACACAGTTTTGTACCGGCAAGGTGCAATTATAATTTGAGGTTAGAAAATTAGACGCTGTAAAGCCTGAAACGTCACCAGGAATGTTTTGTGCCCTCTGATTCTTGGTAGCAGTAGTACCTTGTAGGTAGTTTTGTGGTAGACGTTGCAGCAGTAGACATCTTAAATTCTTCAGTTCCTTCAATGTATTGTATTTGTGGTGTCTTGTTTAAAAACTACATTGATCGTTTTGAAATACTATTCTAGCATGGTAAGCTTACATAACAGTCTTTGCAAGTCTTTCAGGCTGTAGAGATCAGTGGGAGGGGACAGGACCCTGTTTGATCTACTAGATTGCCGCACTCTCAGAGGATACTTCCCTGCAACTGATTTGCCATAGTCTATTCAATCACGCTGTGAAAATCCTAAAAAAAATGGAACAATTTCTTACTGCAGTTATCTGTGTCACAGCTTTCATAGTCAAGAGATGATTGACTTCAATATTAATTATTTTTTTCTCAGTTTAAAAAATTGGAAAAACCGTAATTCTTATCCTGCAAAAATAAATTCTAACTACGGTTTTCAAGTATACGGTTACTTCATGCTCCGGTTTCTTACTTAAATATTTTTCCTTGAACAATTTTAATCCTAAGTCGTGCCTCACTTAAAAGTATCGCTTGTATAGAGAAAGGTATACGTATTTGAGATGCTGTCCTTTTGAGCATTTCCCAGTACATGGGCATTTTTCCTAATGACGTCTTTATCCGATTATGTAGTTTGATAAGATTCTTACTGACCCAGTCATTCCACGAGCATCACCTGAGAAAGCTACCGCAAGGTCAGATGCCTTCGTTGCATTTTGTCTTCAGAGGTGCATGGAAATAAATCAGCTGTGGAATTGGCTTCATATTGATTTTCTATTAACGTTCATTGGTTTTATGGTAATGTTAGGTGAGATCTCTGGATCCATCAACTTTAAGATGTGAAAGATAGGATGACCCTAAAAATAAAAGCAAATCAATAAGTCACAGAAAGCACTGGCATGCAAGTTATGTTCTTTAGAAAGATAGCTGTTCTACTTGTGCGTTATCATTGTACTAAACACTTCAGGTGTGCTGGTAATTAATAACAAGGAGGGAAGAAAAAAGCATTTATGAAATCATTTTGTGTCCCTCCTTTGCTTAGTTCTGTGAAATAATTTTATCGACAGATTGCTAACTTCAGGTTTCTAACTTTTATTTTTAAGTATGCAGACCCCGTAGCAGACTTACTGGATCGCTGGGGTGTGTTCAGGGCACGGCTCTTTAGAGAATCCTGTGTTTTCCACCGAGGAAATTATGTGAAGGATCTGAGTCGACTGGGACGTGAGCTGAGTAAAGTTATTATAGTAGATAATTCTCCTGCATCTTACATCTTCCATCCTGAAAATGCAGTAAGTATTCTTAGTGTTTAAGGTACTCAGTGTAGCGTTATCTTTCTGGTCTTTGCCCAGACTTTCTGATTGAGAAAATAACGCCTACAAAATGTTAATTGTGTTAGTTTCTGCGTTCAGACTGCAGGTAGATTCTAGTGTTCACTGTTGAATAGTGAAAGGACTAGGGCAAACACATCTGGACAGCGTGTCGTAATCGTGACTGTTCATCTGTTTTCAGTTTTAGCTTGTGGCGTGAGAAGTCGTCAGTTATGAAAAATGCCAAGCAGCCTAGAACCTGCGAAACTAGCTTACCTTTAAACTGTGAGGTTGCCCTCCAGCATAGTGGAATCAGAGTGGTGATTACAGTAAGGATGGCTTATTTGAACTGTTTTTGGCACTCCATCTCTTTTATTGGGTGAATTTTTTTTTTTTTTTAGACAAGATAGTTAGTTTTACTAGTTACTATCTGTTCTCTATTCGTGGCTAAGGGGAAAAAATCCAGCTCTTATTGCATTTTTACGCTGCTTCTTTTAAGTATTTTTGTGGTAGCTCATTTCATGATTAGAAATGTCAACAAGTTCATCAAGTTTTAGGAGTAAGGATAAAACGCAGGCAGCAGTACTTAAAGCGGAAATAATTAGGAGCAGTGCACACTTTCATTATGTATTTCATATCAGCTCCAGAACCTGTAATGGAATAGCCTGGCGCTTGCTCCATCAGTTGCTACGAATCAATGCAGATGTTTGCATCTGTTCTATAGCTGCCAGGATAGCAAGCTGGAACTCCCCTTAGATCTATTGACTTTCAAACAACCAGACTGTGTAGTGTTTTCTTTGATGTTCTTAGGCTGTCTTTTTTGTGAACTGTTAAAATTAACATCGGAAGTTTTTATTAGAGACACTGTTTGCATGGTCCTACCTCTTACAGAAACAGCATTTTAAGTGAGCTTTTTTGTCTTACAGCAAGCAGCTTTTAAATTCAGATCTTAATACTCTATCCTAAATGATTAGGGGAAAACATATTTCTGGCTGGTGCCACACATGGTTTAAAGCTGCTATTTATAATAACCAAGAGGTGTAACTCTAAGTTATCTTCATGGTTAAAATTAAAAACCTGATCCAAATTGTCATTTGGTGTCTCAGAATTCAGTGCCAAGAAAATAATGAGCTGTAGAGAGTTGGGAGATGAAATCAAGGGCCTTGTCAGAATGGTTTAGTCATGTACAGCAAAGTACTGCTAGCTAACTGATATTCGAATCTCTGCAGAAACAAGAGCATGTAACTAGATCCAAGGTAGTCTTTGAAAGACCTCAGTGTTCTTACAGAATGAAGATATACAGATCTCCTTCCCCAAATCCAGCCTGCGCACTTAAAGAGTGTTGTTACATGCATTATTCTCTTAGCCCCCTCTCGAGGTCTTAGATTTTGATTGGAGAACTGCTCTGTACTATTTAAATATTTTCTCCTCAGTCTCATTTGCCAGAGGGGTTTATTGCTGCATGCCTAAGTGTTTAGTGACTCACACTGATAATACTTGAAAGAAAAAATGACTTGCCCGTAAATAATTTTTTCCAAGCGGAGTGTCATTACAGCTTCTGTCTTCCTCCCAGTCTATTCTGAATATCAAGGAGACAGAAAAACTGAACTACCTGATGTTGTCTCCTCTAGGTTACCTGGAGTGTTCCATGTAGGAAAAGGTCAGCCGCTGTCTCGCTTTTACAGTGCGTCTGGGGTTAATGTGCTATATGTAGCTGCGTAGGAGATAAGATGAGCCTGAACCTGGCACTCCACTTGAATTCCAGTGACTAGCAATTTGCCTTACTGTGCTGGCAGTGAGCATTGCAGGACATCTTCATGGGCAAAACTCATGTGCTTTCTTGACATCATGCAGTCGTCTTAATATTTGTTGGTTGCTTTGTTTCAGGTGCCTGTGCAGTCCTGGTTTGATGACATGACAGACACAGAGCTGCTAGATCTTATTCCTTTCTTTGAAGGACTAAGCAAAGAGGAAGAAGTTTACAGTATGCTTCATAAACTCTGCAACAGGTAGCCCTTAACTTTGACTGACTTCTGCTACTAGATTGCAGTTGCTAGAGGCTGTCTCCGTCTTTTTCAGCTCTTTCAAGTGTAAGCTTTGGGGAGGTCACTCCTGTCAGAAGCGCTACTCTTGATCTTCCTGTTATGTTGTACACGAAGGACAATCATGAGTGATGCTATTAAGCCTTCAGAAGCCTGACTCCTAGAGGTCATGTGTTCAGACTACTTTTTTAAGGAGGAAAAAAAAAAAAAAAAAAAGAAGACGCTATTTTAAATGGGACTCTTTTAATGAATTTCATAAATGGACACCTTTTACTGGATCAGCTTTTCTTAAAACATGCCAAAAAAGAAGCTTGTATTTCAGCAGTTAATTTCTCTCCCTTTTTTCCCCTCCCACTATGCAGACAATTTTACCCCGCCCCTGCTTAGAGCAGTTGACCTGACTCTGAATTTTTTCTTACAGAATGAAGTGCCTTTTTGAATGTTATTTTAAGATAAAAAATTCATTTTTGTATAAGACGTATTTCCAGACATCTTTTAGTCTTGTATTGTCTAAATGCTTTAAAAGGAAAAAGGAAAAATTTTATAGAGCACTGTAATATATAACAAAGGAAAACGTTGAAACAAAGATGCTGGGTTCTTGTCTCCACAGTGACGTTAAGTTGTATTACGTTTTGTCATGCTCAGAAGGTTTAAGAGTGTTTGAGAGCGGTGACGTGGGTTACATGTTTGTTTCACTGATGTGATTTTGGACATAGTTTTGAACATATCTGCAGTTGTTTGAGTATTAGGGAATGATGGAATTGAGAAAATAGGGTGGCAAATAGATCTAAAGCACCTTTTATTCTTGACAGATGAAGTTCTATCATCTCTGCTTACGCACAACTGCCATGCCTCTTGTTATTTGGAAATGGTTATCTTGGGAGAATGGGGAGGAGATCTATTTATTAGTTTAAAATTCTTTTCTTACAAAAACCCATCTGGGTAAGCTGGATTCTGTATCGAGCTGTTTGGAGTACTTTTTTCTTTTAATTGCTGCTACTGTATACTCACCAAATGGAGTTGACCATCGGCTGTTATACTGTTTTTGCCACTGTGCCTGTGCTATGAAACATTTTCTGTAAGCTGCAAACTTGGGCAATAAATAAGATGCAGGCTTCATAACCCACCCTTATGTATTAGTCCGATGGTATCTGATATACCATAAAACTCAGTTAAAGGTGACCTGCAAAGGATACTTTTTATTGTTGTATTTTTTTCCTTTTTTTTTTTTTTTCAATTGGGATGAAGCCTTCTCCTTTCTTTTGTATGTGAAAATGCAAAAAAAAATGTTTTTCCATCTCCCCTGTTTCCTGATCCTTTCCTAAGGTTATGAGGTGCAGACTGGCAGCTGTATCAACCCTTGCTAAAAGGGCAGGAGTTACTAGCCGAGAACTTTCTCGAAAGTGATCCTCTGTTTTTGGAGTTGAATAGATGTCGTCTCTCCTTCCGAGAGGTTTACAGTTCTAACTGAAGCCTTTTCTCAGTCTGCCTAGCTTTTGTTCTTTTGTGGTGTCATTGGTACCCTAGTGTAAATTTCAGTTATTTTAAGCATTTTGAAGAAAAAGGCACACCTGTTCTTTTTTTTTTTTTTTTTTCCTTTCCAGTGTCACCTTTTAATTATTTTTTCGCACCAGAAATCTACAAGCGTAAAACTTACAGCTGTGTTGGGCTGTCATCAAAGAAAGTTAAATGGAGCAATCGGTGCTTGTAATTGGCCTCCTGTTAAATTCTGAATAGCTGATCCCCTTTGCCTTTTTTCTTGAAAAGTCGTGATGACTTAGGGGGGAAAAAAAAAAAAAACAACAACGATTTGTAATGGACTTGGGTTGTAACCCTTGTCGAAAACATTGGTGAAGCAGCTTAACAAATTCCTTCATAGAAGGGCAGGCCAGCCTACGCAGGCAGTGAGTAGGTTGTCGTAGGTGCAGTATAAAACTGAAAGACGACTTGCCCCCTTGCAGGGCAGCTGGGCACCAAGTGCTTTGCTGTGTCTCCTGGTGAGGGTGTTGCAGGCAGTTCCATGACGCTCGTGAGTCTGTACAGCATCGCCATTGTGTTTTCTTACCAGTTGGCATTACCTTAGTACTGTATATTTCTGTGCCACGACAAAAGATTCAACTGATTAAAAACAAACAAACAAAAAAACCTACAATGTTTAAAAAGAAAGGGTGTATGGATTCTGGTTAGTCCATCAATGTTTATGTTCAGTTTAAGATTCTTTAATTTTGTTTTTGAGTTCAGAGTAACGAAACTATAAGCTGCCAAAAAGTTGTTCTCTGAGCAGTATTTTCAACTGTGCTTGTCGCTTTTAGGCTTCAAGTACAGTTTGCAGGGAAGTATTCAGGTTGTAGTTAGCTGTGCAGGTATGATAGGAACGGCTGAAAAAATTCAAAGACTTTCTCACTAGCATTAGACCAAACAATCTTTCAGTTAGACAATAAACAACCCCATTGAGACGTTACCATTTCACAGTTGTGACCTGTTGTACGTGAGACAAACCATTGTCATTAGTTTGCATTTATGAAAGCAGCGATTTCCTGAACCAGTTGCCTTAAGTCTGTGAATGAATGTTGATTATTAAAGTGTCTTGTATTGTTTCAAAATCCACATATAATGGACAACTGAACTTCCGTGCCAACATCTGGAAGAACTGTCTTGGTGACATGCTGTACAGCCATGCTTGTTCTGTATTGTTTGTTTTGGCTCTTGAAACATACAAAATTCCAGAAAAGACTTGTTTTTTAACTGAGTAAAGCATTAAAATGATGCTTGGTGACAACGCAGAGGGGTCAAACTTAGCAACAATTTTGATTCATGCTAATATTTTAAGAGTATTTTCTGTAGTTTCTTTTGTAGATTCCTAATCATGTTAATTCTCACTGCAGAATGAAGGCAGTTTTGGGGGGTTTTTTTTTTTTTTTTTGTTTTTTTTTTTTTTAACCTGATTCCCACTGACATAAAATTGGGAGCGTTCTTCTAAGACCAAGTTTTAGCTTTCTTTAGTATCCCTAATTTGGGCAGGGGATCAAACTATGTTTATTTTGGCTCCTTTTGTCATGCCTAAAATTTCAAGTTTTAGGCTTGCTTGGTTATATATACACTATATATTTAAAATACCTAGATTTTAACAAAGCAATATAGTTCTAACAATAAAGCCAGATACGAGTGGAATGTTTGTAAAATTTGCAATACGGGTATTTGATTGTATTTTAAATGCAAGCTTTTGAAAATCAAAATAGGAAAAAAATATTATTCCTTAAATCTTTTGCATATTTTGAAGTGCAGTTAATGCATGCAGGTCACCAGGGCTGTTACAAACCTTGGTTTTCAATTATATTTCTGGATATTTTATCATAGAGGTATTAAAAAGTCTTTTCCAGCTGATCATTCTATTCAGCTAAAGAAATGCTGCCTGACCTGGAGTTCTGTTGTCCCTTTTATGTTGGGTTAAAAAGGGTTTTTTGCCTGTATAGGTATTTTTTAAATTAAGCTGTAAGGCAGAATGCCTTAGATTCTTGAAATTCAGCTAAATTCAACTGAAGTGTTATGATTAAATTGCCATTTGTAAACTAGGGCTGTGCGCAAAATATGTGTTAAACACCAGGAAGTGTGGCAAGTTTTGAATGGAAGATCTTAGCAAATGTACAATATTGCTGTGTTCATCTAGGTAGCTTTGGAAGAATAATTTGTCTATTGTTTTGCCCTTTAGTCTTTTTTAAACAGCAAAGTTATACATCGAAGAAACTCGACACCTGAAGAGGTCTGGTTATCAGTGTGTGCAATCACTTTCACAGCATGATTTTGATTAGAGTGGTCGGGGACAATAAAGTATCTAAATGACACTGGTGTGTACTGATGTTGCAACTTTTGAAATTTCAGTGTAAAAAATCTGTAGCTATATAATTTACAAACACATAATCCTATGTTTTACAGATTCTTTTTACTAATAAAACACAGTACCGCACAGCCCTATTTGTAAAACAAAAACAAGTTTGTGCCTCTGATTTCCACGGTGCTGTGATGTATGCCTTTGTGTGGCACAGACGGCAGGTGAGACTTGCGTGGGGGAATAGCTTAAAAATCTCTGGGCTAACTATGCAAAACCAGCTGTCAGTCTTCTGTTTCACATCATATTGTAAAAATCCAACTGACTTTTTTTTTTCCCTTTCTTTCTTTCTTTCTTGTTAAAGATCTTTGGGGAACTTCTTAACAGAGGAGTAAGCAATGGATATGTTTCTTGGGTTTTTTTTGTTTTATTTTTTTTCCTCTAATAATGGAGCTGTTTACACTTTAATGCAATGAACAATCCAGCGATACTTGAGAAACACTACAGATACCATATGAGTGTTTTCAGGAGACAGAAGTGTTGTCAATCAGGTATTGAATGGTTTCTTTACTGTCACGAATAAAAATTTTTAACAATGTAGTTACTTGTGCATGTAATACTTCTCTGGGGGAAAAAAAAAAACTGCCCCTCTCCTTTCAGTAACAACCACTGCCATAATTTGACAGAGACTTTACTCCTCCTGTGTGCACATCCGTGTCGGATAGTAAAATCACCCATCTCTATTCCACTCTCCTCCCCCTCTCCTCTTTTTAAATCATGTATAGGCCTCCTTTTTGACTGCCCTGGCACCTGCTTGTGCAAACAGAGCTGATGAACTACTGATGAACTCTGCTAAATAAATTGGTGGTGACTCTGGCAGATGTTCCAGCTATTTAGATCTCGTGGATGAGATCATACCATAATTTGTTCGAGTCTCAAAGCTGTGTGACTTCTTTTGAAGGGCTCACTTCAACTACTTGAATAGCTGTTCTTAAAATCATTGCCATATCCAAATGAATATCTGAATAAAACACTGTATTTGGTTGAAAAAATCTATTTTGGGACTTTTTGTCTGACACATTAAGACTTAGGCAGAGCCTTCCTTTCTAGGGAAAGGCACATATTATTAATGCTTTATGAGTAGAAAACCTTAGGCCTGTTAGACCAAGCAGCTGGCTCAAGGTTGCACAGTAATTGCAATTAAAAACTAAACCCAAGACTTTTGTGTTACTTCTGCTAGTTATTCCTATGATCAGTTGGAATGAGCTAAAATACCTTTACTTCACGCTGGTGAGTTTTTTTTTAAAAAAAAAAAGTTATTTATTTGTTTTTAAATAAATATACCAATCTCCATAGCTGCTGCTGAGGATAAAGATTCCTTTCTTTCAGTAAAGCAAGTATTTCAAAATTCATAAACAGTTAGCTCTTTTATGTAGGTAAGAAAAAGATACTGTTCTGTCCTGGCTGATTAAAACTCAAGTGTCTGCAAAATTGAATCTACCATAGTCTGTACGTACATATGCCAGTCCTTTTTTTCTGTTGTTTTTTTTTTTTTCCCTTGTGTTCTGGGTCTGAAGGAAAGCCAGCCGTTCGGAAACTCCCTACAAGAAGGAATGGGGCCCTTGCAGGCAGGCTGCAGCTCGGGGGGCTCTGCAGTCTCCAGCAGCTTCCCTTGGTGAACAGTCCTTGTGCTGCAGACCTGCGCAATGCAGATTTTCTACCAGGCCACCTCTGCTGGCAGGCAACCAGGCAAAGTTCGTTTGGTAATTCTGCAGGAGGCACTGCAAAATAAATGATCTTTGGGTAATATATTGGTTTTGACAGGTTGGCAAAGTCAAACCTGGGCAGCTTCCAGGCATATTTAGTTTAAAGCCTTCTCAAGTGCTCATTAGAAGGGAGCTGTGTGGAAGGGCAGGTGGTTCTGTAATTGCCTAATGCCATGTCAACTAGCAGTTCTGAAGCACAGGACATACACTATTGACGTCATGGACTTAATAGAGAATTGATTTGTCTCGGTAAGATAGATCTGCAGCTGCAATCACACACCTTCCCCATACAGTGATTTAAAAAGGTTAGCTTTGGTCGTTATTTAGATCAGCAGCAAACTGAATTTTGGAGGTGGTGGCTGTGTCAGCGTAGTCGTATTCCCCTGGACCCTGGTGAAACCTGTCTTACAGTTATCTTCTACTGCTCTTCTCTCTGTGATTGTCATTGTTTAATTTTGCAGCCATCCTTGCTTTAGTATTGTAGACGCACTTGATCAGGGCGTAAATTGCATGGAAATACTGGGAAAAGAAATGGAGTGTTTGTATATCTTGCACAGAAAATTGTTTCACGTTAGCTGGTCAAAAAAAAAATATATATATATACATATATAAAAATAATACAAAAAAAAAAAACTCATCAAGCCCCTGTCAACCTTAGCAGTCATCTTGGGTTGGACTCCAGCTAGGACAAGACCATCGCTACTTGAAGGCGCATGGATGATTCACCTCTAAGCCAGAATCATTTCTCACCCCTCTCTGAGAAGCACTATTCTTGCAGTTAATTAGGGTTGATTATTTCATCCTTGCAAATGCAAGTGTACACACCTATGAATTCCTAGCATTTCAATAAACCTTATACTCAAGGATTTTGAGGGTTCGTTGTTTCAGGAGTTAATGGTTTCACAAAGGTCTATTTCCTTTGTCATATTTTTATAAGCTTGTGAGATGAAAGCAAAATTCGTTTACAGTGTAACTATAACTTTGTGATTTTTTTTCATGCTTTGAATTCAGTTTGCTAATAAACAATGTACGTTGTTTTTTTTTCATCATCTTCATGTCTGATAATGCGTATAGTTAAAATCCCCCAAGAAATCCCCTTCCCCTCCCCACACCATTCTGCTTAGGGGAAATACTGGAGTGGGGAAAGCAAAGGCTTTACATAGTCAAGGCAGAAAGTTCTGCCTGTTCCATTCCTGTTCAAGTCTTTTGACTTGCCAGGCTTTAAAAAAGAAAGCTTTGAATGCTAAGCATCAAGGGCCTCTTCCTCTAGAAGCATGTTTGGTAGGTAGGTTCAATTTTTTTTTTTTTTTAAACTTGCTGCAAATTTGAATTAAAAAATCTTTCTACTTCCAAAGCCACCTGAGCTTAAAAGTAAGTTGGAGATGAGAAGGGAGTAAGAGAGTGGATTCTTCTGGGGAGAATAAGGTGCTAAGAAAAAACAAGTGGTGCCGGCTGGGTTGGTTTCCCGTACGACTCTGTTGTAGTTCCTGGATGCAGCATCCTGCGTATTGTGTTCAAGAGCAGCCCCCAAAGCAGACAGTTAATTCTTCAGGTGGCGACCATGGATTCGCGTGGTAAGCACGTGCCTCACTGTGGACTGGGAGGCACGTCACTAGGTTTTGTTCCACTTCTTTCTCAGGCTACAGTGGCATCTGTCGCTGCAGCACTTGGCAAAAAGCGTGGACGTTCCTATTCTGAATACATCCAACAATGGTGATTTTGAACAGGGGACCTGATACTGCTCCTAGGTTGACTGGTGACTATCAGCTTACAGTCAAACCACAGTTATACCCCCTAAGCAGAGAGAAGTGGTGGAGCAGCATTTTGCATGAATTGCATTTGGAACAAGATGATTTGAGAGAAGCTGCTTTTCATTTGGCACGCATCTTTGAGTTAAGATCTTTAGTATGGATTAAAAATACCAGCATCTTAATGTTACAAAGAAAAAGCCGTTGGATAGAGTAGGAAGAATCTGAAAATAAGAGACATGCTGATGAAGTTTGCTGGTATGATTTAGGCACGTGCTAGCAGGTTATTGCACAGGAACGCAGGTGACACTGACGTAGTATTTTCATGCATGTTTTTCACAGGGAAATCGTTCTAAGAATGTTTTTGGAAAGATTTTTTTCCCCTAGTCTCTGCTTAATGACCTGTTTATTACTTGCCAAACTGGGAAAGGTTCAGAACCATGGATATATGTAAAAATTGCATGTGTTTTCATGCAACTAAAGTTGTCAGACGTAGTATCTGATGTGTTGGGCTGTTTTTCTTTCTTCTTGAGCAAATGCATTTATAAGAAGAATGGAAGGTGATTTTTGTCAAGGATTAGCAGGGCCACTTGCTATGTAAAACAGTTGGGCTAAGATTCAGGATGTACAAATGCTTTCTTTGGCTCTGTGTAGTGTGGGTATGTAGCTTTGTGTATCCCTTAGTCTTCTGGTGTTTTCTTTCTAGATAGTGCGGCCTTTGGAGGCTTACTTTGTGTACGTGCTTAACTCAGTGGAGCCTTGATGGCATCTGAAACCTCTGTAGACATCTCAATAATTCAGTTGAGATAGGCTCAGATCAGTAATGCTTCCCTGGGCCTGGTCTCTGACTTACTGAATAGGTCTTGAAATAATAAGTGAGAAGGCAAGCATTTGAGGGGGGACGATGGTTGCAGTTTGAAATCAAGAAAGGTTGGAATACTACGTCCCAGAGAAGACGACTGGCAGAAAGTACGGGAAATGGCTGAAGGTGCAGGATGATTATGTGGCGCTGGGCTGCGGTGCAACGAGCTGCCAAACGGCCTGGCAGCGCATGCACTTGGCTTTTATTCTCTTCCACCTTTAAAAATTTGCTAAAATGAAGAAGGGTTGAAACGCCTTGTCCGTGCAGGGCTTGGTCGGACCACGAGATGGTGCAGCTGTGCAGCGTTGCCTTTTAAAGGCACCTTAAAAAGAAAAATCATTATCTCGAGTAAGGATATCGCCCAAAGTTTGGTATCTTAGTCTCCTGTTTGGGTTGAACTCCACGGGTCTGTGGATAATGCCTTCCTTCAGCTGAAAACTTCTCTCAGTATTTCAGAGATGGTTTCATTTGCTTAGTGAATGCTTTCTTTTGCCAAAGGAAGAGGTATCTCCGCAAATGAATTCAAGACAGATAAGTGTTCATTTTATTTACTGATTTCTTTTTCGTCCATGAAAATGCAGAATCGGCACATCAGTGCATGAAAATAAAGGGAGAAGTCAGTATTTTTTGAGTACTCGAG